TAAGTGCCAGCGAAGATCGAGAACCGGAACGTGTCGGACGGAGCAACCGGGAAGCCAACCGGGTACCAGGCGATGGCAGGGCGATGGAGATGCGCGACGCTGCCTGGGCGCGCCGCGGCGTCGAGAATTAACGGGCTTAGTTGCCGACGCAGGTGTCGTCGGGAAGGCGAAGGCAAGCGAGAGTCAGGATGAATTACGATGGGAGCGTCAGCCAGCGCCAGGAGTACGTCGGTCGTTATATTTTGCGCAACATCCCGATTTTATGGGCCGCCCCTCGCGCCCTCGGACGAGCAGGGCGTCCCCCGTCCTCTTTCGGGATGAGAGAACGCGAACTTCCGTTGTGTTACGCGAGTGCCGCTATAACCGATAGATGGAATAGAGACTGGCTCGAGAAGAACAAGACTCAAAAGTAAATTTGGTTAATTACGATAAGAAATCTCTGCACGATCTCCGTTCCATATTATTTAGCATTAAATGCTAAATATTTTATGATATTAAACTAGCGTCATATTAATTATTTTTAATTCAAAATTTTAATAAAAGATTTTATTTTTTATTTTATTTTTGCCAAGTACTTTAAAATGCGTTTGCAAATTTTTATGTCTTAATCTTTAGATCTAAAGATTAAATAAATTGCATTTTGACATATTCGACATGTTGATCCACTTATACTTTATATATTGAAGAGTAATGAAGTTGATCAATTTTATGACAAATCGTAATCAGAATCGTAATCGTATGATCGTCGTCAGTTTCTCATCAAGCTCCTTTGATAGCACGAGGCTATATGTCCTTCGAGCCTGCGTCACGAGCAGGCGGGTTAACGAGTAATGTCTAATCTATGCATCCGCTTATCATAATGGCCCTCGTTATATCGTGAGCATGGCCCGGTAGACTCGGAAACTCCCGCCAAACCCCGCTGTCAACCAACCCCTTAGTCTTAGCCGCCCCTTTCTCACGCGCCTTGCTTCCGCAAGGATATAATAAAAATATTCCGAGTAACTGAACGATATTATGCCGTTACGAGCTCTGCTCGCCGAGTAGAATTAAGCGGTTGAACGTTGTCTCCGCAGGGGTTCGAAACGCACAATTGCCATAAAGAGCGCACGCCGACGTAAAAGCCATGTGGCAGCCCGTTGTGTCGATCAAAGATTATCAGAATACTGCCTAAAACGAAATATAAACATGTTAAAAATTGAAATGCATCTTGAAGCGAGAGGAAAAAGAATTTGCTCGACTTTCAGAATCTGCAACATTACATAATTTTAGCTTCTTCCTTTTTTTATTTTGTCCGTCAATTGAATAGAATGAGAATTTAATTGTTGGAGTTACTGGAGTTATAAAAATATTTAAATATCAATCAGCAAACATACGATGTGCATATTTATAAAAGTTATAAGCGCATACAATTACACACAAAAATTATTTGAACCAATTTATCTTGGTATGTACAATGTATATATCAAAATTGCTAAATTCTCCCTAGACCTCGCATAAATTCTCGATACAAATCGTTGTAATTTTGTGTCCTCAGGCGGGTTGAAATTCCGGTTCGCGAGAATAATGACAATCTCGCGAGAAACAAGCGCGGCGTGGGAAGCCGGCCGAACCGGCTCGGCCGGCATTCTATTAAGCTAAAATCAGGGCTCGCAGCGCGGGCTCGCAGCGTCGCTCTAAATTATTATAACGCGAGGAGATCCGCGTACCTTCGCGGACAATGAAAGGTACACCGTAACGTCGCGACGTTTGTTTGTCGGCCTCGGCGCGGCCGCCGCCCGCTCGCGCTCCGCGCACAGCGATGCTCTCTCGCCTACATTTCGTATATTTTATTATTACTCTCGCACTTTCCACGGCTGGACACGGTAACGTTGGCGAGGGGGTTGACGGCGGTGGTTAGCCCGTGGCCGTTATTAATGTCCGCGGCATGCCAGAAAAAGCGAGCAAAAGACCCCGCGCCCGGAGAGAAAAAGACAGTGGGCATCGGGTATCACCGGCACACAACGTTCTCCGGGATATACACCCCGTTAGTACATACGTCCCGCGCAGAACGGCGACACGGCCACCAGCACAAGCGCCAGGAGTTCTTAATAATTGATAAAAATGTACGCACGCACTGTGATAAAGAGAACGGGAGAGTGAGAATGGGAGAGAGATAGAAACATAGAGGAGATAGAGGTGAGAGGGGGACAGGGGATAAAAAAAGAGCCAGACACGGGCGGTGGGGGTGATGGTAGTGGCGGTTGGTGGTGGGTGACTCTCACCCTCGTGACTCCAACCCTGCTGTGTCCGCCCGACTCGCCACCGTTTCGTTGACAAAGGCATACGCAACGATTTATTCGCACTTTTCACCGCGACCTCTCCCGGGAATTTTTCTTCGTTCTGTCACAATTTCGGAATTATCAGAATTTATGCCTACCCCTTCGCGCGCGTGGCCATGCGCGCTCGCGCGCGTATTCTGATAGGTATTAAGCTGTCTTGATTACCGCAATGGTTTCCCGCGGAGATGCTCCGCGTTCGATGGCGTTGAATATTCCTAAATAAAATGAATGGCAACAGGACCAACGCATTTAAGGGCGCTCGCAACCCCCGTTGTGTATTCGATATTCGTTGACGCTGCCACTGAAAAAAGATTCGAAGAGAGCGTATCATAAATATTCATTTTTTGATCATTTATATTAAATAAAATAGGTATATTATTATCTGAGATCTTAATATCGTATATTTTTTTTTACGAAAGATACTGTGCGATAAACGTAAATAAAATTAAATTAACACATTTTAGAAAGTTAACTTTCCATCTTCAGATTTATTTCTATTAGAATATGACTTTTATATATTTGTTTAAAAATCCCAAATTGAAAATTGAGAAAGTCGACAGAAAACTTAGCCAGTTTTTAAAGTTGATACAATTTTAAAATAAAGAAGAAATTTCAATTTTTAGACTTTTATTTCACTCTTCATATCTTGGACTTTTGTTTTGGACAGAGACTTAAATAAGTCGAGAAATCAATTTATTTTAAAATCAGAGTATACGTGAAATATTGCTCTATTGAAGCAATAAAGGAAAGATATCAAAGCAATATGCGAAGCTTAAAAATCTGGGTATCGATAAAAACATTTAATAAAGCACAAATTCCTTGTCCCGCGTGTGCTACTGGATCCGGGCACCACTATTGCGATTTACCGGAAAATTTTCGTCGAAAACAAAAGAATAAAAAAGACCGCGCAGCTGCTCGAATCTAATTAAGAAATTCTTACACGGCAGTACCGCGCATTCTGCCACACCCTCATGTCCCAGCCCCTTACCTCTCTCTTTCTTCCTCTTCCCCCTCCCCCCCTCTCCTCTCTTTCTTCCAAAGGCACGTCTAGAAAAATTAAAAATAATTTTCCTACGTAAACGTATTAACCCCAGTGGCGGTGGACGGGCTTTTTGCGCTGCGCTTTTCTCGCAATTTGTACAAAGAACGGCACAGACCTGACTTCAAAGTAGATCTTACACGGTGTCGTATCATTTTATTTCAGGAACTTCCCTGCGTATTACTCATTATTGTGTTTAAGTCACTGCCGCTTCCGTCGCAGCCACCGACGCAGCTCGTCTACCCTCATTTAAGATTCCAAGACGAATTTCGTAATTTTTTTTCATAAATGGGCGAATTAAATAATAACGCGCACGTAGAGCGCAAACGATTATGAACTCTCTACGCATCGGGATTATGATTAAACAAAGCGTAGTTGTCTTTTGAAAAAACCGACCTACAGGTAGCTACTCAATCATTAGAAAAATTATTCAGATGATATACACAATGAATGAAGTTTATATATTATACTAACGAATTAATTAACTTCCTGTTAATTTGATAAATCATTTTTATAACATTTATAAATGTATGATATTTCCTTATAAATATAATTTATTAATAAGTTCCTTATTTAAAACAAAACAATCTATCTATATTATCTATAATTACACTTATTAATTATAAAACGTTTTAATAATCATTTTATTATTAGCATTCTTATATTTTTTATGTTAAATCTTATTTTTATTATATTACATTTTTTCTTTTATTAATAAATTATTCATATTAGAGTAGATCGTAGTTTTATCTCCACGTAGAAATTATAATTTTCAAAGACTAATAGATTTGCAGGATTTAATATTACATCTTTAATAAAAAAATGTTTGTAAAATATATATGTATTGAAAAAAAATAACTTCTGGAGAGATTTTGTAAAAATGAAATGGAAACCCTAGATACGAAGACGAAGAGAATCTATTCATAATTTGAATATATTTCCTCGGAATCAAATAATTATTGTTATCTTTGGATAATTTGTAAGCTTGACTCTTGGTTTGTTGGTCATCGATCAGAAGACGCCAACAAACGAGAGATAAGCGACGGGTATTTTCCCTACTCTTTCCATCTTTTCTTTCTCGACAATAAATCTCGGGGAAAAACCTATCTGGATTTTCCGCTCGTTCTTTCGACGCTCAACCTAAAAATTCATTAGATTATAAAGCCATTAATGCTTATCCACGCGGCCGAATGCGCTTCTCTTTGCTTAGACGCGAGTCCAGCTTGGATCGATGTCTCACATTCATGGAAATTCATTTATGCTCTTCTTTTACTTATACATAAAGTATTATAATTAACGTGTATGCTTTAATAATATTTTTAATCAATTTTAATAACATAATGCCTTACATTATGTATCACGTATTATATATTAAATATTACACATATATATAAAATCTAATATTTTTATGTCTTATATTTTTCTTTAGCATTATTTAATCACTTGCGAAAAATAATTGAATTTTGCGTAATATAATTAAGAGATTCCAGATATTATATGCTTGATGTTCTTTTGTTTCAAATCTAAATCCAATTATCGTTCCTGTAAAATAACGAAATTATATAATTTAATTTATGACTTTGGAGCAGTAAAATTGAAATGCATATTGCATTTTGTTATTTATATTCTTTTTTTGATTACAGAAATCATAACTTTGGTGATTTCGGGGCAACCACGGAGATTCAACGAGTACGATGGCATCCGGGTTCTACGAATGACTCTCACTTATTAGTTTTAACATCTGAAAATTCTTTCCGGTAATTAAGAAAAAATTATATAATTGTCTGCGAAATAATACGACTGAAAATCTCTGTTTCTTGTATAATTATTATTTATTAGTATAAGTTATCGAAATCTTTCAGTCAATCGAACATCTATACTTATATCTGTATATAACATTTTAAATATTTCAGCTACGAGAGAAACATTCTCTCGATGGTTGCCATTATAATTACAAAAAAACTGCGAAACTTTGGAAAAACAGCGTGACGTAACTCAAACTCGCGTTCTTTAACTCCTCGTGTTAGACGGGGCTTAAAAGTACGAGAAACGTTTATACAAAACTAAACTTTAGAGGGCTTTACACGGCGCGCCTTTAGAGCGTCTTTAAGAAATGTCGTCGGACTGACCTTAAGCTGCACTTAACTTTGCCCGCAGCTTATACGAGTGCGAACTGGGCGATGCACCGAGCCTCGTAAAATGCTGGAAGGTCGGCCGTGCGCCATCGAGCTCGCCTTCGAAGATCCCGGACTTCACGTCTCTCGGCGAAACTGCCGTGGACTTCGATTTCGCTACTCCTACCCTGAAGAAACCGGAAATATTCACCGATAAGAGCATCAATGAGGTACGAATTGCTGGACTTCGGTGATTCCACAATCTCGCGAATTCAGAATAGCATATTCCCTCTCTAGAATTCTTGTTTTTATATGTTATTATAATATAGTTCTCTAAAATGTTTTATGTAGACTTTAATTGACGTTTATCTTTTAATGATCTTTTCTAATTGTTGTTTAATTATTTGCATTATTTAATAATTTTTATAGCAACGAATTTGCAAATACAAAATACTACTTATTTTCCTTCTGAAACTCTTGTCTTTGTGACATTTAAAATTTTTTATCTAATAATTTAATATAGCATAAATGAAGGATCCAAGATTTACTGTTTAATATTTAAATTTCTAAATTCAATGTTTATTTATTGAGCAAATTGTGCCTTTAAAATCAATGAATGTTTTCCTTTTTCTTCCTTCGTATAGATGAATTAATTTAATAACATATAAAAGCAAATCTCTTCCTTTGATTCTTTGACAAAATAAATTGATTTTAATTTGTCGCCGATAAATATTTTTTTCTTATATTTTTATATTAATAACAATACTATGAAATATTTCTAATAACTTTTAGATAAAAGAAACGATAGACTGGAATCAAATTGAATGGCCGATTTTGGTGCTCCGTGGGAACGGAGAAGTGCTGATCGTTCGTGGAAACGTCTTATCGGAGAAGTACGAACAAAATATTTTTATAAATCAAAAAAGATTAAACAATAAAATTATAGTTTTCAAGTAGAAACAAAAGCGTAACTGTTTATGCTAGTGAAAATAATTCTAGAATTATTAGGATTTTATAATGTAGGTTGAAATGTTTAATTTTTATAGAAGAATGTACACCGTAAACGATCTTAGAATTTTTTTCATTAGCATAAGCAATTACATTTCTTTTCGAAAACTATGATTTTAACTGTATTCGAAAACTGTGATTTTAACTGTTGTCAACAGCTATGAGAATCCAGTGGTACTAGGCTCGCTGTCCATGTATCCGTCGACTGACGATAATTACGGGATAGATTCATGCTCTATCATGTGCCTGCAAACTACCCCGCCGATAGTGGTCATCGCCATGTGCACTGGAAAGATTTATCACGCGATACTGTTGCGCGAAATATCGAATGACGACGATGACGACAGAAAGGTATAGCATATAATAAATATCGCACAAAGTGCTATATATATATATTCTACGTGTAATAATATCACGCGGAATCTTTTGTTGCTCTTCGCATATTGAAAAGTAGCAAAAGATTCGGTTGAAGAGATAAATTTATAAAAATAACTATTTAAGAAAAAGAAAAATAACGATATCTGTTTTCTCTTGTTTTCGCTAGACTTGGTCGCAATACGGTTCAAACTATAGTCTTCATACACCGGACGATGCACTTTACGTTTATGAATGCGTCGAATTGGAATTAGGTCTCCTCTTTACAGATGATGATAAAAAATATAATTGTCCTATTCATCTTCATTGCGATAAGGGCAACAAATCGAGGTAATAATTGTAACAAATAAATTTATCTATGGAATGTTTTAAAACTGTGATTTTCATCCTATATCAGTCAGAGCTCAATTAACCATCAATTAAAAATCGATTCTTTTCTTTTCTCTTTTTTTTTCTTTATGACAAAGACAGCAATACTTTGAAAACTGTATCACATCAACTATTGATTGAACATTGAAATTGATTTATTGATATTTATTTTTATTAGATATTTTTGCTCCCACAATGCTGGGATTCATATGGTCAGTGTACCGATGGTTTCTCAACTGGAGGAATTTGTGAATGGTAAATAGATTCATACTATTAAGAAAGAAAAATATATAAAGAAAATTAATATCTACTACTTTTATTATAAAAATATACAAATTTTTACGTATGCGAATTTAAATAAATTATCTTAACTTTTTATTTTTTATATGATAATTAAACAATTATTTCTTTAGTTTTACAATTATTTCTTTTTTCTTATAAGAAAAAATTTAAATGAACATAAAGAAAATAAGATAAAAATAAAGTGATCAATTTTGCTTCTAAATTTTTATTAAATATTTTTTCTTGTATAATAATATTTAATAATATTTTCGTTTAATAAACAAAAATTTTATTTTTTAGATAATACTGGTAATTATTTACCATCTTTATTAAACCAGTCAATTTTACAATATCTGTTTTCCACGAGAACCAAACACACGAACGTAGATGAAGCTACTCCGATACTCGGTTTTGGTCTTCTTCAAGAACCTTGTGTTTTAATCGCATTGCTGCATACAGGTGTCGTTATCGATCTCTCAGTTATAGATTTATATTATCTCCCAAAAATCGAACAATTAGAACCTGTCATCAATATTACAAGAAAGGTAGTAAATATTATCATCATTATATTATAATAGTTGGTCAGTACTTTCATGTTAAGATTTCTATATATAGGAAACTTCTATGTATAGAAAAACATTGAAATCGACAGAGATTCGAACCTAGAATCTTTTTGTTTATGAATTATGACTTTAGTCTGCATGACCACGACAGCTTCCCACAATAGTTATTTCCGAATCCTATCAATTACTTAACCTTACGACTTTTATATTTCTACATATATTTTTCATTTTGATTTCGTTTTTGTATTTTTAAATTGTCTTAAAGTGTTCATATTTCACGTAATGTTTTTTGAGATGAAATAAAAGTATTATTAGCATAGACATTAATTGTTTGTGAGAATATTAATAGAGAAGAAAATATGTATTGTTAATTGTTTAAGGTGAATAAGGAACCATTTGATACATATATAAAAAAATTATTGAGACGCGAAGTATCACAACCAATAACTAAAATAGGATCTCGCTCGATGTCCTTAAGTGAATCTCTAGAGGTAAGCCTAAATATTAATGCTGAACATTATATGAAATAATTAAAATAATTGTCTTATAAAAATCTGTCTTATAAAAATTACTATAAGTTTTTAACTTAATTTCTATATACAATATACATTCTGTATACAATAGAAAAGAAATATGTAAAAGAACTATGTAAAAGAATTCTAATTCAATAATGTAATTGGAAATTATGTAATGATTTCTTTTCTAATTTCAGTTATTATACCATGCCACAAATATCTTTCGCACTCAGCACTTTGTCCGACATGACAAAGTCCGAGAAGAAATCAGTAAGAAAGTGCGTGCTTTGAAAGCTTTGAAAAGTCATTTGTTAAAAGAACTCGATACTTTGATGGAAACGAAAAAAGAATTGCGATACACTGCTGAACATTTAGCCGAGCGATACGAAGATATCAATGACAAACAAAAAGAATTGGCACGCAGGTAAGTGTAATTATTAAATTATGAAAGAAGTTGTAAATCTTTTGTTTAATTTCTACTTTAAAAATCGTGTTTGCTTTTTAAAATGATTTATTGTTATTATTGTTTGAAGCTTTTGTTTTTCAAAAAAGATATAAGTATCATAATTTGAATATATCTACTTAAAATTAAATTTATATTTTGCAAACTGCTTCTATCAAGATAAAATATTTTCGCACTTAAAATTAATATTATATATATGTTTGATAGAAACGACTAGTTTAATACTAAGCCGTCTACCAATTGTTTAATTACTTCAGCAATATTCAAGTATTTTATAAATTTATAGTGTTATTCAATTCATTTTAAGTAAATAAAAATATAACATTATTCTTTATCATTGAGAAATATCATTGAGAAGAAATAGAAAGCAAAATCTAAATTATATTATGTTTTCAGAGCAGAAGAAGTTTTAAGATTGGTAAATTATAAGGAACCTTCGATGACAGCTATTGAGCGAGCAGAAGCAGAAGAATTAAAGAAAATGGATATGAAAATACACGATATGAAAATTCGACTTGAACAGCTCAAGAAAAAATCTACTCAGCAGATTGTGCATGCAAATGGTACTGAGTCTGATGAGAAGAGGAAACAAATTGTTTTTTCGCACAGTCAAGAGGAAGCAACAAAAGAAAATCTTGGTCAAATGTATGTACAATTGTAAATAATATAAAATCTTGAATTTTATAAAAACAAATTGATGGCATATTAACTTAGTATAATATCGTCATGTATTATCTCAGTATACATATAACATATATTTTTTTTCTTTTACAGGGCAAAAAATATAAAGAATTTGGTAGATCAAGTAAAACAGATTAAAGCAGAGATCAGTCTTTCATATATTAGCAAGCAATAATAACAAATATATCTATAGCTATTATTATCTATTTCTAAGTTACAATTAATAATGTTGTATCTTATTTTAAATTTGTATAATAAAAGATTTTATTTATTGTATATTTGATTATTTTATTTTTTGTATCTTATATACTATTAAAATTTCTAATTAATGATATAAATTATTTATTCTTCTTAAGTTTAATCATTTTAAACAAAATGAATATATCAAAATAACACATCATGTATCACATAACAAATATTTTTATAATAAAAATATCTTTATTAAGTTTTAAAATGTACAAAAAACTTTCTTTATTCGTCGATTTATTGAAACATACAATAATTAGAATATGTACATTAGATGTATATAGATATGTAGACAGATCTGAATACTTAGTACAATCGAAAAAGAGATAATTTTATAACGTAAAATAAGTAAAATGATAGGCCTTTTTTTTTAAAGTACTTTGAAAAGTACTTTGAAAGTTAATCGAGTATTCGAGCGTTCATTCAATTGATATTTAACGTAATTGTTTTTTTATATTTTATATATGATTAATATATGGTATATATATTTGTTTATTATCAGGACTAATTCTTAAGTTCTCAGTTGACTTTTGAGATAAACAAATGAATTTGTGTGTAATATTAAAAATATAAAATATTTTGTTATATAATTTTCTATTATAATTTTTTGTAATATGAATAATGACAAAATCAACTAATCACTCTCGCTATCAACTTCATTGATGCCCTCAAGAACAGGTGGAACAGGTGGTGGTTCATTGTGGAATACAGGCATAATCTAAAATGAAAAAAAAGGAAAATTTTTTGTAGAAATATTTATATAAATTTTTTAAAGTAATGCTTATTACCATAGTAGATCTTGAAGTTTCAGTATGTTTTATTAAGACATCATTATCACTATCTGGATTTAATATTGGCTTCTCGATATGTTTTTCAGTTTGTTGATGATCAACAGTCTTAACGATAGAATTCACATCTTTACTCGTGCTAGATTCTTTTTCCTCTTCATCAGAATCTTCGTATAGTACTTGCAAGGTAATATGCTAAACATAAAATTTTAAATTAAAATGAATGTAAATTTTACATTAGAACGCATAACATCATGATAAATATTATATTTATATGTCTTACCTTTATTGTATTTGCAATAGTTGATTTTACATAATCAAAAGATAATTCAGAGCGTGATTCATCCGCAAATTTTTCAGATAATGTATGATATGTTTTATTCATTATTTGTTTAATTTCTTTATTCTTTTTCTCAATCTACAAAATAAATGAATAATCAATATCAAATTTATGAAGAAATGCAAGATATGCATTAAAAAATTGATCATTACATCTTTCTGTCTGGAAGATGTCGTATTGGTTTGGAAAACATGTTCTCTATGACACGTAGAAAGTCTATCTTCTAAACTGATGTTTTCTTCTTTATACTGTGCAATTGTATTTTTAGCCATTTCTAAAGCTTCTTTGGTTTTTTTCAACTCATCATTTGTATTGGTTACTCTTGCTTCCAATTCCTGGAGCTTCTTACTCAGATTTTCATTACTTTCCAACAGTAATTCTTTTTCCTCTATAATAACAAAGTTTAATTCAATAATTATTAAATCTATTAATTATATTTTAATATTATTGTTACTTAAATATTATTACATCTCAAATGATCGTCACCTTTCGATCTTCTCAAATCATTTTCTAAGGAATTTATTTTACTTTGTGCCTCCCGAATTTTTTCATCAATTGTATCTTGGTCAATATTTTTTGATAATTCATTATCCTTCGTTCCCACTTGAGATGCATTAAGAGCTAATAGCATTTTCCAAGAGGCATCCAAAGTTGCTTTATCGCTTGTAGGAGTTGTCGCATTTTGAAGCTCGAGTGCATGGAACTATTTATACCAACAATGTTATAATCAATGTATTATCTCATCTTATCTATACATACCTTATCTAATAATTTCTGAACATTGTCAGATATTTTAGATATTCCCATACGTATCTCTGCATTTGCTATTCTTGTTTCTGAAAGTAACATATTTATTCCAGGATCCAGAGTGGCTGGTACTGTACGATTTACAGTTTGTGATACAGGATACATCTGATTGTCCATTGTTACATAATGTCCCTGTAATTTTGACCACAATTACGTCGCATTAATTAATTTAATTAAATATATAAATATAAATTAATTATACAAAAAACTATATATTTTAAATCTTACAAAATATGGTGGAGTCCATTGTGGTGTTAACGAAGGTGTAACAACTAATGGCTTATAAGTATTAGAATCTATAGTAGGCAGTTCAGTTCTAGACTCCGTAACTTTTTGAGTCACCTTTCTTTCATCTGATGACTCGTGCAACAAATTTTTCTTTTGTGAAGTTTCTTCCGATTGTTCGATCTAATAAAATATGCAACATTTTAGCAAAATGTACATTTTGTTAACGCGAAAAAAATTTGCAAATCGTGACTAACCCTTTTGTGACGAGGAGATTTATGAGGTACGTCATCCTGAAAAGACAATATCGCTTCTTTCAGAATATGACAATGATATGTCATGGATCTTATTCGACACCTCATGAATGTTACCAGAAACAATAGAAAACATTAAATATGAGCACCTCGGTATCTTCAGAGTCAGTAGTAGAAGGTAGAGGCATTTTTGGTAAAATGGATTGACCCATTTTAGCCATTCTCGAAATTATGGCTGCTTTACCGCTCGTTGAACTTTTAGATGACAGTATATTTTCTTCCTGCACTCGTATATCTGTTACCTCTATTATCAGCATAACATCTCTCTCCTTAGGAAATCCGGGACCTAAACTAATCTACATAAACTATTTAATGCGGACAATATTGTTATGCATATAGCATTTCATAGAAATGCGATGAAATACCTGTTTGCTAGGCGGTAAAAATAAAATCCTTTTCAAACCCTTGCCACTTCCCAGAAGGATTCTCTCCCAATTCTCATCCGTCGATATCTCTACGATCATCGTCTGCGACATTGCAAAATTTATCTTGAAAGGCTGTACAATATTAGTCCCAACAAAATATTTGATACATATATTGTCCCCCTCTTTTGCGATCATATCTTTATCGCTTGGCATTAAATCCTGGTAGATTACGCTCTCGCCTCTCTCTTGTGTTGCAAAATAACGTGCTAGTCCCACTTCTGTTGCAAACTCTATGTAGCTCTCATTATTCTCGAATAAAATTGACCAATTCTCCTTGTTATTATCATAATAACTAGCATAATTATTCACTTGTACAGTGTAAACAAAGTCACGTGTCACCGTGGCGACAGATATGTACTCTTGTTTAGTCTTGTATAAAATTATCTGATATACTCTTGTTGTCATGTTACCTGTTAATGCCATACCAAGTTTTCCAATAGAAGCATATTGACCATTTTGTCTGAAAACCAAATACATTAAAATTTTTATTGTTAATTCTTATAAAATATTATAAAGTTATACAATTATGCTTATTAATATATTGATTATAAAAAATCAATATTCTCAGCAATTTAAAATATAATTACAATTTAAAAGCATGTACAGCTTTAGCTATCAACACTTCTGTCTTAGAAGATGATACAGTTTGCTGTATGTTATATCGAGTATTACTCTTCTTGACTGCTGCTTGTTTATTGGATTGCGAATCTGGGAACTTTGATTGCAGACCGAAAATGGCAGCCAAATTAGATCTGAAAATATAAATATTTTAACATATTTTCTAATTAATAAATTATACAAAATAAAAATTTTATATATATAATATACACATATTCACGGAATTAAAAATTATAAAAACTAAATAGAATTATTTAGCAATTAATTTACAGCTAAATTAATAATTAATTAAATTAAATAGTATAAGTTATGGATTTGGTAAATAAATCATAAAAAAGTATAAGAAATGCCAATCAAAGCCAATATAGGATCTTCTTGTATAAAAATAATATATTACATAAAAAGTGAAATTGTACAACATATGTAATTTTTACTTTTTATATATTATTTTCACATACGGAGATTCTGTGTTGACTTTGATTAGCATTTCTTATACTTTTTTATGATTAACAATTAATAAAACTATAATCAAAACAACACTTATTTGTTCATTTTGGTTACATCTCGTTGTATATTTAAATAAAATAAATATAACATTTGGACTTTGGAGAGAAAAGAAAGCATAAGAAACAAATTGTGATTGAAGTAATTTGTTATCATCTGATTAAGAAGCTTATACTCGCTTCTTTCAAATTGTATTCAATAATATTTAATATGCGAGTACATACCCTCCTGAAGGTACAAAATCAGATTCATCATCATCCCGGAAGATCTTATCAAGATTTGGCAATTGATTCTGTGCGCTCATGATCACAAAAATTTATTGGATAATAGGTGGATAACAGGTTTCGATCGTGCGAACGGACTTGCCAATGTGCTGTACTGACATTTCTCCTCACGAGCATCAAATTGCGTTCATCACCTGATAATCTGATAAGCGCGCATAAGAATTATTCTAAAGATGTACAAAGTGTAGAGTAGTGTATACAATTGAATTATTGTATATTATTATTGTATTACTCTATGTTATTCTATTGTATATTGTATCATTGTATATTCGTTGTAGATACATACTTAAAATAAGATAAAGATAATTATTCAATTACGCCCCCGAATCCAATATTGATGAAATTATTTCATGCATTTATTTCATGTATTTTTGAGCGAAACTAAAGAATCTGGCAGAAAAAACATCATTCTGCTCCGCGAGACGAGATATTAACCGTTAAAATTGATAATCATTAGGTTAGAAGACTCTTTTTGTTATGCCCTATGCGCATGTGGCCATAGAATAGTCATATACGTATCAGTTATCAGTATGCAGTATATATTCATGTTTCATCAATATGACATTTTACATTTTCATATCATATGCATATGAAAATCCTATATAATATACATAATGTACTACATACTATATGATTTTCGTATGCGATATATTTCAGAAATAGGGACTCAAATTTTCTAATGTCAAGAATCATTAATTTTAATGATTAATATCTCGTTTCGCGGAGCAGAGCGACGCTTTTTTCTGCCAAATTCTTTCGTTTCGTATAAAAATATGTCAAATAAACATAATTTCGTTAATAATTTCATCGATGGAATTGAGAAATTGATAAACTAAACAATTACTCAGATTTCTAGGCTTTATTCTAAAATTTATATATTACCAATTCCATTTTTATTTTTTCATTATATTTGTATAAGATTTTTCAATAATAGCAGTGAATTTTTTTAGTTCAATTTAATCTATTTTACCTGTATAAAGTATGTATATCATTTCTGATATATTCTCAGAATATAGCAGAAGCATCAAAACCCCAGAAAGCATCAAAACCATATTTCGTATATTTTCAAGACTCAGAATATATTACTGATGTTCATATATTCTCAGGTACTCAAAAAATTTTTCTAATATATTTATAATTCCTATAATGAATCATCTTATTATTCGGTCCATCTGAACAGACTTGCAATCGTGTATGCCACGTGCTTGCGCAAGGCTTGAAAGTTCAAATCACGTGACATGGGAGCCTCGACGATGACAGGCTGCGTACGTGTGACACTGCGGGGTACACGTAGACGTAACATAACCTTCATTATTGACGTCGCCCGTTATTTTTTTTTTGACAATGTAAAGCGTTCCTCGGAATTTCATTTTACGACGTGATCCTCGATTAGTGTTCCGCAACGAAACGTGTCACATGATGAATCTAAGTAAGACAGAGAAATTGTTAGCTGCCAAGAAAAAGGTAATCAAGCACTCGAGACAGTCGGCCTGCGTTGACAACTGCAGCTGTCACATCTTGTCTAGTATAATTTTATAATTAGCGCATAAATTGAATAATGTGCAACGACATAAAAGTATCGTATTGCTTTATTCGGAGCCTTCTTGTCAAAATTAATGATGTTAACGATGCTAATTCTTTAAATATTACAAGCTAATGGAATTTGATATAAAATCTGCTACTTCGCATTAAATTTTTAACTCACTTATTATTCGTGCTAATTGAACATTTTATTTCATCTAATTTGCTCATTTTTGATCTTCTACATTTCCTTTTAAATTTTTAGTTTAATAAAATTTCAATTGTTGATGATTGAATACAGAATTGTGATTACAGCTAAAGGAGTTCCAACTACAAAAGAGATTGCAAACACAAGAGACCTCGAGCAAACAACAAGACTCGAATGTAACAAATGAATCTGTATCACAGGTAATCACTCAACAATAATAGTGACATGTAAATTCAGATATATATTTTTGAATATATAATATTAAGCTAATATCTCTGACAGTGCCAAACCAATTGCCAAACTGTAGAGGGAGATATACTCTGTGATCGAAAGAATCAGAATGAAGAGAAATGTTTGGAGAATCAATTTGAGACACACATAGATAATACGAATATTAAACATGGAGAAGAAAATATATCAAATCATTTTCATGATACTAATAATTTATTAGATACAAGCAAAGTTACAATAGCCAGTACCACGAATAACAGTGAAATAAAAGAAAAGAGTTTTCCTATCTTGGAGAATAATTTAGAAAGCACTGCATTATATGAAAGCGATGATAAAGATGCCATACATTTACATCCTCAATCAGATTCACAATTTGCTGAAAATGATGGAAGATATAATTTGAACGCAACATCTAATGGACCATCGATAGTGCAAAAAGAATATTTGTTAGAAATGGCCTCAGAAGTTGCTAATGCGCTTACTGATGATACAGATCACAGTGAACCGATCACAGTAAATTCATTTGATCTCGATCTGAATTGTCGCAATCAGTTTTTAAATTCGTGTCTGGAGGAACAGAAACAACTTGTAAATGACTTACACATTCAAGTCAGTCGTTATGTGAGTATTTAACTTGTTTTATACAGCTTCTAATTATTATATCTAATTTTATTGTTATGAAAATAGCACAGCAAAGTGGCTGAATTGGAAGAAATTCTAGCTACAAAGGATTCTGAATTTGAAGCTAAGCTCATTCGTGAAATAAATCCTTTGAAAGAACAGTTACAAGTCCATGCACAGACTACTGGCATCCTAATAGCGGAAAAGGCAGAACTTACAGCAGCTCTGACACAAAGCCAAAAGATTGCGAAACAAAATTCAGGTTAATATGTTTATATGTAAAATGTTGATGGATACAATTTATCTTCACAATATTCTAAAAGGTTTGTATTATTAATATAATTAAATCTATACTTTTAGAAGAATTAGAAGAGATGAGTGGAAAATTGAAACATAGCCAGCTCCATATTAATGAGCTTGAGAAAGAATTGGCTCAAACAAAAAGTAATTCTACTGACACTCAGAAAAGTGCACAACAAATACAACAAGTCTATGATGAACTTGAAAAGAAATATTATGAACTCAGGTATTACAAAAATAATATATTTCTACATTAAGACTCTCTCACAGTGCGACATGAGTTTATGTGATGTCAGAAACAAGAAATGACATGCAAAAAGTTTCTTGTGTCGTAGCTTTATTTTTATACTTTTCTCTTAAAAACATATTTTTTTATTAATACTAAAATATATCAGGAAAATATTTGTGCAATAAATCATATAGAAATAAGATCTTGTGATCTGATAATTTTTGATAGCTGAATAGTGTATTATTATTTCAAGAATTATTTTACACTTTTTATGTGATTTATCTTCTGGAGAGATATTTTATTTTCTGGTATTTTTTACAAGTTTTAAGAATATAAAAATATCATGTTTTTAAGAAAAGAGTGCAAACTAAAGCTATACGGCGCAAGAAACTTTTTGCATGTCATTTCTTGTTTCTGACATTATAATTCAATATGGCTGCAGCGAGAGAGCCGAGTCTTGATTATCTTAATATATATGTAATATACATTTAAAATCACATTTATTGAAATCAAATAACTTCAATTTTAACAGGAAAGAAAAAGAAGATTTCGAATTGGAAACTTCAGAATTGAAGCAGAAATTGAATTTAAAGAATGCTGAATTTATTACTCTGCAACAAGAATTTCAAGAGAAAGCAGCGTTACTTTCCTTAAATGAACTAAGGATACAACAAGTAATTCTAAGTATTACCGAATAAGTATTACCGAAGATTATGAATTATTTTGAAATTAACGCAGATAAATTGTTGTAGCTAACCGATACATCGCAAACATTAGAGTCTCAACATCAAACTGTAACAGTATTGGAACAACAATTGGCTCAAATGAGAGAAACTTTGAAATTAGTGAATAATGAAAAGGATGAAGCTAGTAGACAATATCAAAATTATGTACGACAATTAGATGCACAGCAAGCAAAATTGTTTAATGAGGTATAAACATTTTATATAATCTTATTTATAAAGATAAAAATAATTTTATCTAATTTTATATTAAATAATTTTATATTAAATAATTATAGGTTGAAAGCGGAAAGAAAATAATCAGCGATCTCGAAAGTAGAGAGAAAAGTTACATACAACGTTTGTCGGATTTGGAACAACAATTGCAGCATGAAAGAGAAAAAAATAAAGTTGTACTTCCATTGCAAGATCATAATGACGAAGTAACTAATTTTATGAAAACTATCGATGAATTGACTGCGCAACAGGAAAGACTTCATATTGCAGTATCTGAAAGGGTAAAATATTTATATATATTCAGAAACTTGATAGAAATGTTTTTTTTTTTAAGATAATGTTTTTTTTTAGGATGCGGAGATAGAAATGTTAACAAAGGAAATACAAGAATTACAAGATACAAAAGATGACGGAGCAGATGCAGCAAAATTAGTACAGGCTCTTGAAAGTGAGAAGCTTGGTGCATCTAGAGCTGTTTTGCAAAATCAACAATTAAAGCAACAATTAACTGAAATGGAAAATGCTTTTGTTACTCTTGTGAGTAACATAATTGTACAATATATACAATAATATAATATTATTATATTATACCTGTGATTTCAAAATCATTATAAAAAAGAAAAGTTTTAAAATCTTTCAACTTATAAGGAAATTTTATTTAGCTTTAAAAACACATATATATATATATATATATATATATATTTTTTTTAAAACACATATATATATAATTTGTGTGTGTGTGTGTGTAG